TGTAATTTTAGTAAAGACGGGGTTTCACCATTGTTGGAACAGGCTGGGTCTCAACCCTGACATCAGGCCGATGGCACCCGCCTTGGCCTTCCTAAAGGCATGAGCCCCCCAAAAAGCATGAGCCACCCTGGCCGAGGTGATTAATTTTTACCTGCACCTCAGGGTTATCCAGTAACAGGCTGGCTGGGTTTGCAGGCCAGCGTGTTCCTGGTGGCAGTCGCTCACTCATTAACACTTCTGGAAGTGTTGCTTGTCTGGTTAAACTGCAAATGCTTTGCAAAGTCATGTCACTGAGCAGAGGTGTGAGACTGCCAGCCAGCCCTGCTGTGTACACTGATAGAATTAGTGAGCAAGCATCCCACTCTGATGGAATCCAAATGGAACTGTCACTGTCACTGCGGTGGAGACGGTGGGGCCACATTTGCACTGAAACCTGCTCTGCGCCTTCAACAGCTGTGTAACGGCGGATGGCCATTTCCTTGAGTGGGATGAGACATTGCCTACTCGGCGTGGCTGCTGTGAGCGTGAAATGGGATCATGTGCAGAACAGCCACGCATGGTCCTTGGTGTTTGATAGACATTGGGTCCCTCTGTGGTCCCGGGCAGACACTGGGGGCGGGGGCAGAATGGATGGTCAAGTTGAGGGGCTTGGGGCTGTTTCACTGGTCTAGAAAAAGACAGCAGAAACGTTGGCAGCAGGACTTTATCGTCCGACACGGGGCTGTCTCTGAGCCTGAGCTGTGTTGGTTGGAAGTGAGCCATAATGCGGGTGTCACCCCCCCAAGCCTTGCTCAGTCCACTCACAGCCCGATGGCCAAGGGAGGACATGGCTGCCCACCACGGCAGTGTCTTCAGAGGTAAGGCATTCGTCCCGACGCTCTATGCTTCTTATACAAATTAGATATAGCTGAAGCCACCCATTAAGCAACCCAGCCTTTCTGGGACTATTTGGGTTGCCCCTGGGTCCACTAAACACAGTTAATTTTCCCCAAGCCCCCTCCGAGTTCAAGGATGTGGGGAAAAGAAAGAGATCAGCCTGTTACTGTGTCTATATAGAAAGAAGTAGACATAAGAGACTCCATTTTGTTCTGTATTTGAGATGCTGTTAATCTGTGACCCTACCCCCAACCTTGTCCTTGCAAGAGACATGTGCTGTGGTGACTCAAGGTTTAATGGATTTTGGGCGTGCAGGGTGTGTCTTTGTTCCTAGAAAAGCTAGGTATTGTCCAAGGTTTATCCCCATGTGATAGGATGAAACAATGCTGCTAAAAGGTTTATCTCTACGCACAGGATTTTCCTTTAAACTTATTCATGTCACAGAGATCCTTGTTCTTAAGTCTTACTGCTGATTTCCTCCCTAAAAACGATCCTATTGTCCTGCCACTCCCTTATCTTTAAGATGGTAAAGATAATTATCTATAAATACTATAAATACTAAGGGAACTCAGAGACCAGTGGGTCCTCTGTAAGCTGAGCGCTGGTCCCCTGGGCCCCCGCTTTTCTTTCTCTATACTTTGTCTCTGTGTCTTATTTCTTTTCTCAAGTCTCTCGTTCCACTTAACGAGAAACACCCACAGGTGTGGAGGGGCAGGCCACCCCTTCAAAGGAGGCTCCCTCCCCTCCTCCTCCCACTCGCTTCTCCCAGCCTCCCTGACTCCTACGCTCTGGGATCTGCTCCCCACCATGGGATGAGGAAGCCGAACGGCATGGTGACGCAGCTGCCCTGCACGCAGCCACACCATGGGCTGGAGATGCCACTGTCCGCTCGGTTTAATGATCAATTAGCTCCCTGCCAGGAAGTCCTTTCTGACCTGGTTTGCCCCTCAGTCGCTCAGGCTCGGACCTAGTGCCTGCGGCAGGACAGCCATGGCCACCAACTCCACCAGCGACCTCCATGCTCCAGGGACGCAGCTGAGCGTGGCTGACATTATTGTCATCACCGTGTATTTTGCTCTGAATGTGGCCGTGGGCATATGGGTAAGGGGAACTGTGGTGGTGGCGGCCAACTGGGCTCTCAGGGCGGGTGCTTGGGATGGGAACCGGGGTCCAGCATGTCCCTGTGGTGTCAGCATTGGTCCCACCTGGTGGCCTGGTGATCCTGTGGTCCTCCTCCCAGCCTGGGGCAGATTTGCTTGGAGACCTTGACCAAGCCCCTTTCTCTATTTGGGTAATGGCGTCTCCATCTGTAAAGTGAGGAGAAGGAAGGTCTCTGTAACAGGTAACTGGGCTTTTGTGCTGCTGCCCAGTTGGAGTCCTTGGGTATGGCCATCAACCTCCTGGTCCCAGTCTCCATGGTGTCAGTGACTCCCATCTGCTTGAACAATAGGCTCCCAGGGATTCCCTGGCTGCACCCAGAGCTGCTGCATCAGAATCCGGAGGAAGGGAGGACCCTGGGAGCTAGGGGGTCTTTATTTTTAACAAGCTCCCTGGGATTCACATCCTGTGGCCTAGCTCTAGATCATAAGCCGGTTCTTCCTCCTTTCGTAAGAGTGAGAAGTGAGCAGTGATCTGACCCCACGCACAGATTCCAGGCGCAGCGGGGCCCTTGGAGACAGGCTGTGTCATGTGCAGATGGAGAAGCCAAGGCTCTGGCCCTGCGGCGAGGGAAGGGCTCCTCTTTGGTCTATCGTGGAAGCCTTTCTGAGGGAAGGTGGACACAGCCTGGTCCAGGTCACCTGCTCCACGCTTAGTGCCTGGAGGTTGGGCTCCACTTCCTTAGTCCCAGAGGTCCCCAGGCCGGCATCCCTGAGCCCTGACAGTCTCCTGGGGAGAATGAGTACTCCTTCTTTTTTTTTTTTTTTTTTTTAACTGAGACGGAGTCTAGCACTGTCACCCGGGCGGGAGTGCAGCGGTGCTATCTTGGCTCACTGCAACCTCCACCTCCTGGGTTCAAACAATTCTCCCGTCTCAGCCTCCCAAGTAGCTGGGATTACAGGCGTCCACCACCACGCCCAGGTAATTTTTTGTATTTTTAGTAGATACAGGGTTTCACCATGTTGGCCAGGCTGGTCTTGAACTCCTGACCTCATGATTTGACCACCTTGGCCTCCCAAAGTGCTGGCATTACAGGCGAGAGCCACCGTACCCGGCCGAGTATCCCTTCTTATCTACCATAACCCCTGGCCTAAGCACGAAGGCCTGGCAAACAGGAGACTGGTCACGTCCCCTTAGTTTTCTGGGCCTCGGTGTTCTGATCTGTGACATGGAGACACCACCTACCTGGGGTGAGGTCTGCTATCAAGAGGCCCGCACAGGACCAGACCTTGCTGCTGCCATTGGTTCTACAGTGGTAGTGGTGGTGGTGGTGGTTGTAGCAGTGGTGATTATAATAGTAGCAGCCGCAGTCATTAAAATTAATTATCACAGGTTGGATTTCAAAAATCTAAATCCCAAAATCTGAAACATTTTGAACATCAACATGATGCTCAAAGCAAATGCTCATTGGAGCATCTCAGATTTTAGATGTTTGGGTTGGGGATGATTAACGGGCAGGTATTCTGCAAATATCCCCAAATCTGAAAGAGTCTGAAATTCAAAACTCTTCTGGTTCCAAGTATTTCGGATAAGGGCTCCTTAACCTGTATGTGATTAAATATTAACTCACAAGTAGCCCAGTGCTGGCCATCGGCAAAGCCGAGTTCAAGTCTCGGCTCTGCTCTGTGTACTTAGTCAAGTCACTTAACCTCTGTGGTCTTCAGTTTCCTCAAACACGCAATGTGGGTTTCTGTGCAGCCCACATCTCAGGGCTGTTCCAAGGAGCAAGGGGCCAATAGAAGTGAAAATCTGTTGCAAACTGTAATGTGCTATATTCCTGTGAGAGTTGGTGGCTAGAATTCAGTGGAAGAGGTGCCCACGTGGGGCAGAACAGGCAGTGGAGGGTTTCTGGATGAGGGGAGGTAAGGGCCAGGTAAGATCTGAGAGGGAAAGAGGAGGGGAGACAAGGCTGTCCTGGCTAGCACAGGTGGGGTATTTCGTCAGAAGTGCACGTCTAAGAAAGATGTTCTGGGCACCTGAGGCCAGGCCCTTTGTAGCCCAGTGACTTGGGTCACCAGCCCTTATTGCCCATGACCCACCTCTCCCACCTCAGCCTTGCTGTTTGCAGGTTGGTGCCCCTGGCAGTAGGGTTGTAGGATTTCTGCCCTGTCCCTCCAAGCAGGCCAGGCTGGCCCGGTGGGGAGTGGCTGGCCAGAGAGCAGTGAGCACATCCAGAAAACATCAGAACCAGACAGGGAGGATGCTGGAGCTGCATCCCACAGGGAGAAGCAGACAGAGCAAGCCAGGCAGGTGCAGCCCTGCAAAGATGTGTAGATGGTGGGCCTGGGAGAGTCTGCGGCGGGAGCCTTTAAGGAAGGGATGTTCCTGGAGGAGGGGACTTTGAGCTGAGCCTTTGCATTCATTAAAATATCTGTTAACAAGTGACAGAAAACTACTTTCAAATGAGCTCGAAGATTATAGGAAATGTAGGGCGGGCGCAGTGGTTCACTCCTGTAATTCCGGCACTTTGGGAGGCTGAGGCGGGCGGATCACGAGGGCAGGAGCTCGAGACCAGCCTGGCCAGCATGATGAAACCCCATCTCTCCTAATAATGCAAAAATTAGTCGGGTGCCTGTAATCCCAGCTACTCGGGAAGCTGAGGCAGGAGAATCGCTTGAAACCAGAAGGCAGAGGTTGCAGTGAGCTGAAATCACACCACTGCACTCCAGCGTGAGCAAAAGAGTGAAAGTTTGTCTCAAAAAAAAAAAAAAAAAAGAATACAGGAAATGTAATTGCGTCCAGCAACAGAAAGGGCTTCAGGTGCAGTATGACCCAGGTTCACAGCATTATTAAGGATACAGCTACACCTCACTGTGGTTCTCTTAGCCTCCATCCATGTGTAGCTCTGTCCTAAGCCACCTCCCCTCATTTCCTGATGTGAAATGACCAGCCCAGTGATTGAGCCTGAGTTAAAATCCAGGCTGCGCCACTTGCTAGATGGGTATGTTTTCATCTCTGAGACCATCAGGTTCCTCATTGGTAACATGGCACCTACTTCATAAGAGCTGTTGCGAGGACTAAGAACTCCACACAGGTCAAGCAGTTGAAGCCAACTCTGGCATAGGGGGTCCTTGGGGAGCCTTAAATGGGTACATGTGGCCCCAGCAACTGCCAGCAGCCCCCAGAGCCCTAGAAATAAGAAGGCAACTGACAATGCCCACTATAGGCTTGAAAGATGAGAAGTGTCAGGAAAAAGCACTGGCCGTAACCATAGATGCTCTGAAGTTGTGCAGTGCACCCCGTACACATCTGGATATGGCCATCCTGGCCAAGATGGTGAGCCTTCAGACTATGCTGCATGTAGTATGGCAAGATCACAGCACACAAAGAGAAAGTGGTGGGAGCTGGAGCTGCGAGCTGGAAGAAACATTCAGGAGCCAAACAAAAGTATCTTGAACTGGGCTGGGTGGTGTCCACGGGTTCCCTGCTACTCAGGAAGCTGGAGAGCGAGGATCACATGAGCCCAGGCGTTCAAGACCAGCCTGGCGCAACATAATGACCGCTGTCCTTTAAAAAAAAAAAAAAAACCCGTCGCGGTGGCTCCATCCCTGTAATCCCAGCCACTTTGGGAGATCGAGGCAAGGCGGATCACCTGAGTTTCGGGAGTTTCGAGACCAGCCTGACCAGAGCAGAGAACTCCGTCTCCATTAAAAATACAAAATTACCTAGGCATGGTGCACAATGCCTGTAATCCCAGCTATTAGAGGCTAAGCAGGAGAATCACTTGAACCCAGGAGGCATGAGGTTGCGTGAGCCAAGATCGCGCGCATTCCGCAACTCCAGCCTGGCAACGAGAGCGAACCGGTTCCAAAAATAAATACATAAATACATAAATACAATAAATATAATAATAGATAAATAAAAACTTTGAATGCGTAGTCCATACAATGAAGCACCTAATCATCTTGAGTTAGGGCAGGTCGGCAATTAATTCGGCGAAGAAAGAGACCTGCATACTGATGGTAATATTTTTGTGAGTCCAGCCTTATGCTGTTCTGAAAAGAAATATAAAATCTATGTCTAACCACACCGTCCTGTGCCCCTCTTTTCAATTCTTCTGTTTTTTCTTTTTTCTTTCTTTTTCTTTTTTTTTCTTTTTTGTAGACATCAGTCTTACTCTGCAGCCCAGGCTGGAGGGCATGTGGCGCCATCTCGCGGCTCACTGCAGCCTTGACTTCCTGGGCTCAAAGGATCCTCCTACCTCAGCTGCTCCGAGTACGCTGGTTAACAAGCAATGCACCACCATGCTCCAACCCTAATTTTAAAACTTTTTAGAGACAGAGTCCCCACTCATGTTTGCTCAGGCTTGGTCTTGAATATCCCTGCTTGAAGCAACCCTCCCTGTCGTTGGCTCACCAAAGTATTGAGATGTACAGCATGAGCCACCATGCCCCAGGGAACTGCTGGCAAGTGATTTAAGCTGGGGTAACCATCATATATTTCTCTTCGGAGTCCACAAAGGGTACAGCGCCACTATAGGCGAGGTTGGCTTGTAACAGCTTCGACAGTGCCAGCAGTGCCTCTAGAGGTTCTGTTTCACAACATGCCTTCTTATTAAATTGCCAGGCACGTTCATTGTATGGGACCGAATCTCGGATAGGCAGGCTGGATGGTGAGACTGAATCACTAGAATAGCATTCCAGAAGGCAAGTGCGAGACCCAGACTTCGGATTCTTGAAAGCATAGTGGAATCAACTCGGGCCTGTCTCCACTCTATCTCCATCAAGAGAAAATTACGAGGGAAAAATGGACGCTGGACGAGGAGCACACGGTGGCGGGAGGCGCGAGGCGAAGTCCCACGACTAAGACTGCGGTGAGGGCCGTATCTGCATGTCTAAAGAGGAGATGTGTGGATGACTCGTAGAGCCGTCACTAAGGCGACACGGCTATAAGTCGCACGCTTCCCGAGAATCGTCTGCTGGTACTAACTACTTTGCACTCTT